CAAAACATGTGCTGATGTTAAAATGACAGCAGCATACATCATTTCTTCACTGACTCAACGTCATGACCTCCTACCCAGCTGGAGTGATCTGTAACACAGAATACTATACCTGCAGAGCGTGTGTCCTCCCTGGCTGCTAACCAGGGTTGTGGCCCATGCTTCTTCATTCAAGGGCACTTGCTCCTCTGATTCCTCAGCTCTGGGTCGGGTGATGTATGTATTCCCCTAAATGCAGTCATTTAGAGTCAGTGACTCTGTTGACGCCCAACACCCCCAAAATAATATTGTCAGCTCCCGACAAAGGGACACAAAACTGGGCTTTCAGAAAACACCATTTTTCTTCATCTTGCTGGATGTTGTTTGTGGGCTCTCATCTAATTCCACGTGGCTTCAAAATGACTTCACTCCAGGTTTGTTACCACATCAACTGCATAATTTTATGGTGGTTTTTTTCCCCACCAAAGAAATATAACTTGGTTTGAAGAGGCTTCTTGGCCCCAATAATGTACTCTATTGCCCAAGACAAGCTGAAAAAATGGATCAAGATTTCACACAACAAAGCAAATGGACAGACATGCACAGGAAACCATCAATAACACTCACATTCTGGTAAATTACTGCTGCTAGCGTGTAAATCCAGTAAGTGTTTTAAAGAGAAAAACAGTAAGATAGCAAGTGTCTTTAATATTACTTTATTTCACGTTAGTTTTCTGAGACTAAATAAAGGTCACTGTTCTATGTCCTGATGAATTACTGTTTCAGAATTCCATACCTAAAGAGTTACATTTAATCCTCACTCAGTTCTGAGATTCAAAATTTAGTTTCTCATTTCAAAATACAGTGTCCTCTTAAACCACTTCATTATCAACCTCTGCTCTCTGGAAAATGCAGCATTATTTCTGTAGCTCAGAGTCACAACAATCTTTTATGCTACCTTGAACTTTTACAGTTGAGAAGGTAGTGTCAACTTTTAGATGTCTCTTCCGTCTTTGGTAAAGTAAAACTCAGAGAAACCACACCAACTCGGAGCTAGACTGCCTGGTTTCATATCCCGTCTCCCTACTTACTACTTGCGTTGTGATATTTGGCAAGTGACCTAATTACCTTGCTGTGCCTCCATTTCCTCATTTGAAAAATGGGATTATAATGAACCTATTTCAAAGAATTGTTGTGAGAGTTAAATAAATTAACATGTAAAGGTGCCTAGGGCAGCATCTGGCACATTTAAAATCCTACATAAGTGTTAGCTATTACTTTGTTTTATTTAGCTCCAAATTATCATGCTGTTTCACGTACACAATGTATCATGCTGTACACAATGTTTGCCCAAGTAAACTCCTACCAACTAAAATAAACAGCTAACATTCAAAGGCTCATCATGGTCTGTGGACTCTGTGGAGAGGGTAAGTCGAGTGTGTTCCTGCCGCTAATGGTGAGTGGGACCTTCACTAGCGGAAAGAAAAGATTCCAATATATTTTGTTCATTTCACAAATATTTACTCAGCACCTTCCATATGCTAGGCTCTGTTCTAGGCTCTGGGCATATAGCAATGAGTGACACAGAGGAGGTCCTTGCACTCTGGAAGCTTAAAGGGCACTCCATGTGAGAGTCAAGTTTTGAAAAAAGGAATCAGAAGGACTTGCCTTCCAATATGATGAAACACAACATTGCTTAAATGCCTTATAAGCAGGAGCCAATGCTGGCATTATGGGTTACTCCAGCTTTCTAACAATGACAGAGCATACAGAAATGGCTGCAAAGAAAAATTCAGTAACTTTCCATGTAATGTACTCTAAGTATCTTCCATTGAAGCACATTAAAGGGATAGTCACCATATTTCTGGTATATAAATAACATATAAGAGGTTTACAAACACATACACTCAACCATATTTGAACGGTTTTCATAAGCTGTGAAGGCCCAGCTCCTAAATTTTGTCCAAATATATCCTATTTGCTGTATACCCGTGTGCTTTGTCCCCCCCCCCCCCCTTCCCCTTCTTTACTTTATCTCCAAGTGGCTGCATACAAATATCAAGTAACTATGAGGGAAGTGCCTGAAGATGCATGTGGTGGCAAGAGTCAGTTAGACACCATGGAGCATTAACTCCAAAACAAAACACATGCATCTTTTTGTTCTTACATCCTCCCATTGATGACAACTCTCCACTCATCCCTTCCCCAAACAGAATGCCTTTAGTTAAAGGAGCCCTCTTATAAAAACTAACTGGCAAAGCATTCTCAATCTTTCCTCGCCAATGATGGCCCACTAGAATCAGAAGATAGGTAAAGTCCAATATGCTCTAATCACAAATATGGCACATTTTCAAATACTTCCCTTACCCTTCCCAATCTTTTCAACTATTACTGCTCTCACAGGATACAAACTGTTAGGTCCCACCATCATTCTCATCATTGTTATCTATATATATATAAAAGCCTACATGACCATTATGACCAGTCCACTACTCCACAGGTCGACCAGTCACTATGATGAACATTGACCACCAGAGGGCAGATGCTCAATGCAGGAGCTGCCCCGTGCTGGTCAGTGTGCTCCCACAGCCACCCTCCTGCGGTCCCTCCCCCAAGCCAGATGCCCCATCGCCCTGATCAGTCCCGATCAGGATTGGGCAAGATGGTCCCCACCCGTGCATAGGCCTCTAGTGTCTGTATAAATCTTTAGACTGTATCTGTGGAAACACAATCAAAATAAACTTCTTGCTTAAGGAAGTCAAAACTGCTTAATTAAATCCAACCAAAAACTAAACTTCTTAATGCACAAAGTACTGGACTCAACACTGAATATGTTTAAGATATTTCATGGCAATCTGAAATATTAGGGAGAACCCCTGCAATGCAGATAATATAACATTCTTAACACTCATATACCCATGAATGTTAGACTTTTTTTTTAAATTTCTTTATTGGCTAAGGTACTACAAAAGTGTCCTCATCCCCCATCAACCCCCAACCTCCACCCACCCCCGAATGTTAGACTTATTAACAAAGCAATAACCAGCCCACTGTTTTTCATTTCCTTGGTTTGGTATTGGAAAATTACTCTTCCCGTTTCATTGTCATTTGTTAATCCTTAATTAGGAATGTCACTTAGAAACTAAATATGGAAAGAAGCCTTTCGGAAAGGGCCATTACTTTCCCAATGTTTACTTTTTTCCAATGTCCGGGTGACAATGATACATAATGGGAATTTGGATAAATAAAAAGATACAGGGCCTTGGACTAATTGCACTTCTATGCAATTTTAAAGCCATCTTCCACCTTGAAAAACACATTTACTCTAGGGGTCATTTTATATTGCCAACACCCTCATTTTACCAAAGCGGAAACAGTAGTAACCGAGGTATATATTCCACATTTGGGCACATTCAAATCAAATTCATGCATTCAAATACTTTTGAGCAACCTATGCTTATGCAAAAGTTACCCTGGCAGACTGAATGTGATAAAACATGTAGACCATTTGGCATAGGCCTGGCAAACAATCATTACTCAACATTACTCATTAATACTGTTTCTAATTTTCCAACTTTTTAGTAACCTACATGGTTGTAAAATTATATGATTATGCATATATATAACATGTATAAGCTCACATGCATTAATACTATAAATAAAGCCAGTACGTTAGTGTAAAGTAACGCTATTTATCTAGAGACAAAGTTTAACAGTAGCAAAATGATCCACAAAGCAGCAGAGAACACTTCCTAAGGGGTAGTGTTAAATATTAGCTCTTATCTCTGTTTATCAATTAAGAATACAACCTCTACATGGTCTAGCATGAATTATAATTAGCAGTCAGGTGATCCTAGAGAACTAGCTCAAAATGAATAGTTAAGACCTCAGCACGTGGACAAGTGACCATTTATTTGCAAGGCTGCTGCACCAACCACTGAAGTCTGCTAACTTCCAAACACTGGAATCCTACAGAAATGCATTGCCTGCCTCAGGCTAGAAAATATATTTTTCAAGTCCCTACAACACACATTTAAAAAAAATATCTACAGTGTCACTATCACAGCATCCAGCTTTTTATAGCACTTCAACAGTCTCGGCCACACCTCATTTATGACCATCAGAAAAATGGAAAGATAGTTTGGGGAGCACAGGCTTTCTTATTAAATATTTAGGTAAATATTAAAAGTAACCCTATGCCACCACTAGGGAAAAGAAAACCTGTGTGTTTCCCAGCCTCATCTCGATCCGTGGCACAAAGCACATTCCCCCTCCCACGCCGCGAGTCACACCCGGGGCGCGCCGAGGAGGGGCGGGGAGAGGCAGGGCGCTCCGGGGTAGCGGCCTGGCACCGCTCCTTCCCGCCGGCTCTAGCACGCAACCGCTAGAGCTAGACCCACGTGGACCTCCCGGCGGGGGCGCCGAGACCCACGCCCAC